TGATTTATGTGCCTGTTGTATCATGGCCAAACTACTTTAACAGCAATAATCCCTGTTTCATCTTGATCTTGCTTTTAATTCCATTTGAACTCAGATCTTGAAACAATCATCTGAAGTGATATCAGATACTGGCTTCTGTTTCTCTTGAAAGCAAGTTAAAACAACAATGATAAACTAAGGCAGGAGATGTGAGTTGTGACAGTAGATTTTTGATTCAACATATGTCAACCTTATATTGCTTGAGACCTCTGTGACAGACAAACAAATTTATAGTTTTTTGATAGTTTGGATTCTTGGCTTGATTTAGCAGATCAGCTGTGAACCTTGACTTTGAAATCACATAAATGTCCCCGAACGAATCCCGAATCACATGGTCACATGGTTTGAAATCACATGGTACCCGAACGAATCCTCGCATGACATTTCTTCGTCCGCATTTCTTCGTCTACAAATCTTCGTCGGTGCATTTATTTGTCCATCAATGCTTACTCTTGCATATATTTGCGTTGAAGAAGAAATGCGAGCCGATTTTCATATACCCTGATGCGAGACAAAGTAATGCGATACGCATGGGCGTAGGAACCTCACGAAAAGTGGGGGGGGGCCAGCGAAACTTCAATGTCACTTTGTGGGAGCCCCAATACCCCTATGAAGAAATTCTTTGCAGTTTTGTGCTCATCTCACCTTGCTGAACGATTTCCTGCTCTTAGTTTTGTATTTGAATCAAAAATAAAGATTTTACTTTGAAAAATGGCTGAAAAGTGGGGGGGCCATGGCCCCCCCGGCCCCCCCTGTTCCTACGCCTATGGCGATACGAATAAATGCCCTGACGAAGATTTGCAGACGAAGAATTGCGATACGAAAAAATGCCATAAGAAGAATTGTCCTGGAATCCTTTGTTGGCCATCATATATTGACCTTGATAAGATAAACGCATCATTCGCGCAATATTTGTCGCACTTTGATACCAAATTATTGCTTCCAAATGCCGACGTAAAGAAAACCTTTATGTGACGTCATAGAAACAGCGGAGTTCCCAAAAAGTAAACAAAAATAAAAGTCTTATATCTCGAAAACGGTTGAATATTTTCCAGTAAAATTTGGTAGATGTTCATTTTCGCTCTTTGTGATTCACGCTACATCACTTTTATGCCAATTCATTAACTTTTTTGAAGGTGGGAGGGTCCCTTTAAAAAAACGAACTATAGGACAAGTAAGTTTCAACGGCATCTAAACGAGTCGTTCAAATTGACTTCGGTCATTTTTGTATTATTCTGACACACACAAGGAATTCCAAAACGGACCTTTTTCTCTAACTCGTCGTCAACGATGTCTTCTATGAAATATATAGGAAGGGAGATTATTCGGTAGGTATGCATTGTATAATGAACCATGGTTTATTCGCGAGCCATCGAAGGTGAATTTAGCGGCCTATCGTAGGTCGGATTAGACACTTTTAAACAGCAAATATTTGACCAATGTTCAATTATGCTATGGTACATTCACTAAAACTGAGCAGTAGCATTTCAACCACCACTCTTAAAGTGCTAAACCAGTGTTTATTATTCTTGGCTGACTCTTAAGATTATATTCGACAGAGATAATTTCTCGCAAAGCCCTAACACATACCTACCTAGGCATACCTTATTTCTCTTCCGCTCCCTTTTTACCCGTTTTATGTCCGTTTCTCTCTTTCGGTGCCCTCTCGCTTGAATCTTCTTTTCTTTTCCTGCCTCTTCTTTTTCTCTCCTCCCGTCCTTATCGTTTCCTCCCAGTCTTTTTTCTCAACCCTCTCTCTCTCTCTCTTCTCTCCCTCTTTGTCTCACTCACTCCCCTTCCAATATTCTCATCTGCCGCAGCGTTGTGGGGCTCGCTTTCAGACAGGTCCAGGCGCTTCCCACTCCGCCGACCCCAGCCCACACAGCCCAGCCACCCAAACACCCTCCAGCAAATGACCTCTGACCTCGGCGACCTGATCCCAGCCGACCGATCGCGTCCCTCTCCACGCCTGATGCTGATGCTGATGCTGATGAAGTGGTCGGGCTGTCACCTTTGCATCGGTAGCCCGGGTAGCCCTATAAACACAGGTCGAGTGGTACTCTTACCTGGTACTCTTACCTGGTGGGGCTCCTTCTGCTTCGCAGCCGGTAGTAAGGACTGGAGCAGGAGGAACCCGGATAGGATCAGGACACGCCAGTCACAGTCTCCCCACGATGATGTCCTGTAGATGTGGCCAGATGACTGGAAAGTGTGTGTCCTCGTGGCATATGCCATTGGAAAACAACACTTATCGGTATGTTTGCACAAATATCGCGAGTCAGATGTAGTCGTACAATGTGTTACCTAGTGCCTGTGCGAGAAGTCGTTTGAAAGACGACAGATCTGAAGCGGCCACCACGGCCTCTGGCAAACTATTCCAGATAGCCACCCGACGATGCGAAAACGAGCGCTGCCGCACGTTCGAAACAGCACGTGCTACATGCAGCTTGAAGCAGTGACCACGAGTTCCACCTCGGGGAGGCTGATGGAAAATGTCCTCAGGGGTTATTGTGCTCTTCCCATGGAAAATCTTCCAGTACTGTATCAGATCGGCGCGAATTAGTCGGCCTTGCACAGAGAAAAGGTCAAGTTCCTTCAGCCTCTCCGCATAAGTCATGTCATGCATCCCTTCAATGTGTTTTGTCCATCTGCGCTGTACCCTTTCTAGTTTACGCACATCCTCAGCATATTCGGTGTACCACAGACAAGACGCATACTCAAGCACAGGCCTTACATGCGTCCTGAGAAGGAACAACATGAATGCGGGTGATCGACAAACTGTAGCCTTTTTAAAATTGTGACACAGTCCACCGGCCTTATGCACTACAGTGGCTATATGTAGATGAAATTTTAACGAATCATCGACCAACACTCCTAGGTCACGCTGCGAGTGATGGATCGGAAGTGGTGTACCGTCTAACGTGTACAACGGCTGAGATTGGCTACAGAACTTGCGGGAAAATCTCAACACCGCACACTTAGCCTTGTTCATGCGCAAGCCCCAGGACAGAGAGGTCTTATACAGTACGTCAATATCTTGTTGCAGTGTCGGATCTGTCTGGGGATACAACGACACAGAGTTGCGCGCAACAGAAGCATACAATTTAAGGTCATCGGCAAACATCTTAAAAGTACAGGAAAGCTTTGAGCACACAAAATTAATATATATCAAAAACAACAGCGGACCTAACACGGAACCCTGTGGAACACCACTGCACACGTCTCTGCTGCTGCTTAAGCCCTTGCGTTACTCCTCCAGCCGCCTCCCCATTTAGTCATTGAGCTGGTTGTTTGCTTTGATACTGTGTTTTCTTGTTTTTGATACTGTGTTTTTGTCTCATATCCGACCGATTCTTGAATATGCGTCATGCTTGTGGAACACTGGGTATGTGCAAGATCTTCGTGCGCTTGAAGGAGTCCAACGAAGGTGGACAAAACATATTGACGGCATGGCGGGCCTTGACTATGGAACACGCCTAAAAAAGTTGGAACTATATTCAGTGTATGGTAGGCTTCTGCGGGCTGACCTGATCCTGTATTGGAAAATATTTAATGCTCAGTCCTGCATCCACCCCAATAACTTATTTCACACACCTCCATGCTCTAGAACCAGGGGCCATCGTCATAAGATACATATTCCCTCCACTGTCACTGATACCCGGAAGCGATTTTTCTCTGTCCGATGTATTCCGCTATGGAACTCTTTACCGCCGGATGCCGTTTGCGCACCCAATCTCAGAGCGTTCAAGCGTGCAATAAACACTCATTTGCAAAATGAACTCTATAAGTTCATAGAATAGGTATGCACTGTATTATCCGTGTATTATCTCACAGCGCTCAAACGTGCAGTAGACTTTCACAGAATGAACTCTATGAGCATGGAAATAGGTGTACACTGTATTATCTTATATATACTTATCGGAAATTCTTATCGATTCTAGCAAAACTTGTTAGCACTGTGTAACCTGTTAGGCGCATGATTCCAGTCAAGTCTTGCATGACATTACCATATGACTGGCTTAATTTTTGGCTGGCGCGTCTTATATGTGTAGGGTTCTGTCTATCCTCTAGCCTATCCTTTCCTGCCTACTTACAGACTTGATGGAACCCAATGAGGTAAGAGCATACATGTTAAGGTTTTTCTTATCCTTCCCAGCATGGAGTTCGCTGCTGCCGCGGCCCTGGACACTTGCTCGAATGCTTTGAGATCAGGAGTAACAATCACCTCCAGATCCTTTTCTTTGTCATTAAAGTCGTTCCTCTGAGAGAGTAGTTATAGCCAGGATTCAGGATGCCAGGGGAATGAGCAAGAAAACCTAACACGTGAGCTCAACAGGTGAGTTCAGCGAAGAACAGTACTGGCATGTAGAAATTGTCATTCTTGTAGCTACATTGTGGCCAAAATTACGCTCAATGATACCATACCTTTATTGTTAGTGAATATTTACGGACCAAATGACGATAGACATGATTGGTTAACGCGTAATCATGCTTCTGCGTCAAACATTAGGTATTTTATATAGAATATAGTTCCTCGTATATTAAAATATAGAAAATGATCTCTTTTACAAAAACGTTTTATTTTTCTTTGCTGATCATTTTGAGCATAAAAATCATAAATCCATTGCTAAAAACTAATTTCGGGAAAGTGAACTTTTCCCTATAAAAGAAAATGCTGGACCCATGTATAGTACGCTTCTGGTATATCCACTAAGGTATACATTGACGGCATGAATGGAACATGTCATTTTGCACGAGACGCTTCTTTGGACCACTACCACGGGATGGTTTCAGGTAATCGGCCACATTCCCGTTTGGCGTTTCGTTTCCTCGCATCATCGTTGCAACAGCTCCTGCCATCACCGGAACGGCGTTGCGTCAGAAGCCGTGCGCAGTCGTACTTCCCGGTTAGAGGGAAACCGTCTGATGTCACAGCTTCAGTTACTCCGGCGGGGGTAGGAGGGCGGGGGGGGGGGGCACCGGCCACACCCCCGCCAGCGGCCAATGGCCTGGCTCCCCTGGCGTGCCACGCCCACCAGGTGCGACCGTTCAGATGGCCTCCGCAATGGGCACCCCTCCGTTCCTTTTCCCTCTCTCCCCCTCTGATTACACGTAGTTCACTAATTGAACTACGTGTAATAGCCCCACCGAGCGATGCCCCCAAATGCGTGACAGTCAGCTGTCCTTACACGTGCGTATCGCAGCCTGTCAGCGCATCTGTTAGTGCGTGCGTTGGTAACATCTCCCCGCCCGTCCGTCCGGCGGCGGCTGTGCCAGGGGTGCGGTGACGTCACGGCCGGGCCCTGGAGTGACCCTCTGACCCGGTCCGGCCCGGCCCGCGGGACAGTTGTGTGAGAGACGCGTCCGTGGTAAGTGGTGCGGGGGAGCAGTGTGAACGACCAGCCGACCGAGCAGCGCCGACATGCCGTGCGACTTCAGACTCGGCCTGTCGACGATTGAAGAGCTGCAGAAAGCGCGAGAAGATGACATCAAAAAGGCCGAAAGGTGAGCACTTCTTAGCAGTTGCTATGCCAATGTAGGATAATACCCAATGTTCTTTTCATTCAGTCAATCATAAACGACCAATGGCTAAACGACCTATAACCTACAACAGACGACCATGTCAAGGAAAGTTTCCCTGACCATTTCAGGACGCTCAGTGTTCAGTGTTTCCTGATTCCTTACGCCGAAAGTACAACAGGCGATGACCAATTCTAGCTTGTGAGTTAATGTTTTATCTTCAATCGGCACGGACCATGATCGTATCTTTTGAGATAAGACGAACTTTATCGGATCGTAACGCTACTTCCCATCATATTCTTTGGCTCGCCTATCATGTTTGACCCATGATTTCCTGGAAACAAAGTGAAAATGGCCTTTTAGAGGAAGTGACTTTATACCATTAAACTCTATGTAAATTGTAAACGATCATTTTAACTGGTTTTGCATATTAATGTAAATGGTATTTTTCTTTCGGCAATGAGTCACTGGATATTCGAGATGTGTAGAACCGTGGCTTCACCTTGTGGCTTATGGAATAAGTCGTTGCTTTTCCAACTGTGACGAAATGCTGTTTACAACTGTACAGTTGACAACAGAATGATGCTCCACTTTCCTTAGGCAATCAGTTGCCTGAGTGGTAGGCTGTGCCGCATCACACAGGCTGAGTGATCCCAGTTAAACCCTCGCCCGTTTAGGGGAGGGGGGGGGTCGAACAGATCCCCTCGGTTGTTCGCGAATGACTCGCGTAAAAATGGCCGATCGCGACGAGACTTACAGTACCCTCGCGTTAATCAACTTTACACCCATCCTAAACATTTCATGACCCTGACCCAAATGACCTTTGACCTGTGATCCACTTTTCGAGACCATGTTTGGCTGGAATCGCGTTTCGGCGTATGTCGGCTCGCATTAGCCGCGCGTTTGCAGTCTTTTCGTGGTTTGAGACGTTCAAACATGTGATATGCAAAAATGAGATGGAAAGAAATGGAAGGAGGAATTGTTAACTAAAACTACTCTGTCCCTGTACATTGTCTGGAAAAAGGAGATGAAGGAAGTAACGTTTATTGACAACCAGCAAGCATCAACAATATTTTTCCAGGCAAGAGCTAACTGTCTTCCTTTAAATGAGCGCAAGAGATACAAGAAAGAAGACACAAGATGTATGATGTGCAATGCAGAAAATGAAGACCTCGCCCACTTTATATTGAATTGCCCAGCTTATGAAGAAGAAAGACAAGAATCAATGCATCTTCAGAAACCCTATGCAAAGGATATTTTAGGGATGTTTCTGTTTGAGGAGGAAGATATCGAAGAAAAGAAAGAAGTATTGCTTAAGCTGTGGAAGAAAAGAAGACTGCTGGAAATAAAACAAACTTCTCCATCCTAATTGACCTTCATCCTCCCAACACCCAATCCCGTCCCCTAGTGAGAATCCTAGCCACACAAACCAACCATAACAATGCAACCCATCGATCAAAGTAAAAGTTAAAGTTTAAGAACTCAAGGAGGTGCCGATACAAAGGCTAAACCTCCGATAACCATCGCATCGCATCGCATCGCTGTTGGACCCATGCATTAGGGTGGGTGTCAAGGTCACCTGAAGGTCAGGTCATTGACCTTTGATGACCTCGGTTCACTTTTTCGAGTTTTACATGTTTCTAGGCTAGTTTTTGGAGCTGAATTCAGGAGCACCACACCATTGTTTCTTACCAACTCGGCTAATATTTGGTATATTTGTCAGGAACCTTGAGTTTTTTTTTATTTTAAGGCCGTTCCATGGATGTGGGCCACAACATTTTGATCCCTATTATATGTTTAACCCCTTACACACTACCAAGGTAAACACCAGCTTCTAACCCATTAGACATGTTGCTTAAGTCTGGTGGTTCCTCCTCATTCGCAACAGCTGAAAGTTAATTAAACATGACTGGTGGATTTAATGTTTTTTTCAACAAAAAGACAGCAGAAACCGTCTTTCTCCGCCAAAATATACCTAATTGCATGCCTTCTTATCTTTATCATCAAGGCAACAGACGTGTTTTATGGGACATTCACCGTTCACATGAATGATACGATGCTTGATTTTAGCGCTCTGTTATATTACCCAGCACTACATGATAACGCATTTTAGGCGATGTCAGTACCTACTTCTAGCTTCTAGAACTCTTTAGGGACCACTACCTCACTCAACACGTGCTGTCCCCAACGAGATACCGCCCCGGACAGACGCCGCACGTCCTGGACCTCGTGCTGACCAAGGAGGAAGGCATGGTCCTCGACCTCCGCAGCCATCCGCCACTCGGCAGTAGCGACCACGTCGTCCTGACGTTCACCCTGCGGTGTTACGCTGAAGTCGAGCAAGTGACAACACTGAAACCGGCACTCCACCGCGGCGACTATGGGGCGATGGTCCAAATGGCGCGAGAGGCGACCTGGCCTGTCTCTGATGGCTGCACCGTTGACCAACACTACCGAGCGTTTCAAGAAGTCCTGGACGGCATCTGCGAGCGCGGCATCCCTAGGCAGCACCCAGGTGGCAGGAAGCGAAACCTGTACATGACGCGCGAGGCCCTGACGCTGCAGAACCGTAAGAAGAGAATGTGGAAGAGATACCTACTAACCCAGGATACCCTGGACTACTGCCGATTCTCTCGAACCAGGAACCAGTTGAAGGGACTGGTTAGACGTCTCCGCAGGAATTTTGAGCGGCAACTGGTGGAGAACCTGCCGGAAAACCCGAAGGCATTTTGGCGTTATGTGCACTCCCGCCTGACCACCAGAACAAGAGTGGACGACCTCGTCACTGAGAATGGGGATATGGCGTGCACGGACGCAGCTAAAGCCAGGGCTCTGGCGGAAGCTTACAGCAGTGTGTACTGCTGGGATGAAGACCCGGCTGACGTTCCAGCAATGAATCCCCAGTATGGAGGCCCAACGTTGGAGGAGCTGCGGGTGACGCCGGGGCAAGTGGAGGGTAAACTCCGCGACCTACGCCCGGCAGCATCACCAGGCCCTGACGCAGTCCATCCTAGGGTGTTGCGCGAGCTGGCTGCCCCCCTGTGTGGTCCCTTGACAGACCTCTTCAACCACTCCTTGGCAGACGGAAGAGTCCCAAGAGATTGGAAGCTAGGTCAAGTTGTCCCCATTTACAAAAAGGGACCTCGTAGCGATCCTTCCAATTACCGTCCCGTCAGCCTGACGTCCGTGACGGCGAAAGTGTTGGAGTCGCTCGTGCGTGACGCCCTGTTCGAGCACATGACAGTGACAGGCCAGCTAACTGAATGCCAGCACGGGTTCCGCCCGGGGCGCTCCTGCGCAACGCAGCTTCTCAGCACACTCGAGGAGTGGACTTGGCTGATGGAGGAGGGCGAGCCGGTTGACGTCGCCTACTTGGACTTCCGACGCGCCTTCGATTCGGTGCCTCACCTGCGTCTTCTCCAGAAGCTCCACGACATGGGCGTTAGGGGACGCCTCCTCGAGTGGCTTCGCTCTTTCCTGACAGAGAGAAAGCAAAGGGTCACTGTCAACGGCAGCTTCTCGGACTGGGTCGCAGTCGGCAGCGGTATCCCGCAGGGCACAGTTTTGGGACCAGTGCTCTTCATCGCTTTTGTCAACGACCTACCTGGCTGCGTAGAGAGCGCATGCAAGCTCTTCGCTGATGACACGAAGGTGTACGTCGGAGCGGGCACCGAGATCGGCCGCAGAAGGCTCCAGCAGGATTTGGACGCCCTGGCGGCCTGGTCTCGGAAGTGGAAGCTGCCGTTCAACCCATCCAAGTGCACAGTGCTTCACCTGGGCAGCCAAAACGTGCGGGCGAAGTACACGATCGAAGGTGCTGCATTGAAGACTGTTGACACGGAAAGAGACTTGGGGGTCCAGATGGACAGACTGCTTAAATTCAGGGAGCAGGCGGCGACCGCCATTGGCAAGGCCAACAGAACCCTCGGCCTGATCAAGCACAGCTTCGTCCACATCGATTCCAATACACTTCCTCTGCTGTATAAGACAATGGTTCGCCCGCACCTAGAGTACTGCAATCAAGTATGGGGCCCGTTCAACACGACCGACGTGAGGCTGGTGGAGCGGGTTCAGCGACGGGCTACGCGCCTTGTCCCTGGACTTCGGCATCTGCCTTACGAAGAACGACTGAAGAGTCTTAAACTTCCCTCCCTCCAGTACCGCCGTCGACGCGGAGATATGATCACGATGTTCAACATCATGCATGGACGCTCCGGCCTGGACAAGGACGACTTCTTCTCGCCCGCCCCAAGTACACGCACCCGCGGCCACCGACTCAAGGTGGCCAAGAAGCCAGCGGTCAGCCGCGTCCGGCGCAACCACTTCGCCACCCGGGTTGTGTCGGACTGGAACGCCCTACCAGAAGAAGTTGTCTGCTCGCCATCGACAAATGTTTTCAAGAACCGGCTGGACAAGCACTGGATGAACTATGCCTTCATCGCTCCACAATAGATAAGACTGTTAATGCTACCCGAGCTCTTTACGACGGATCCACCGGGCAATCCTAGTGCCTTCAATGATCCCCAAATATCAGGTATCAGGTATCAGGTACTTCCATTCAGATGGCTGAGAAAGACTATCCGGTTATTCACATGTTCCCCATCTTTTCCGGTGTCATTGCATAATCCATGTCAATTTAAACTGATAACCTTTGACCGTTAGGAGCCTGATCAATATCTGTTCAGTGTTCACTGTTCAGTGTTTTGGAAATTCGTGTACCTAGTGTCGGGAAATTCCTGGCATCGCTCTTTCTCTGCGGCGCTGAAGGGCCTCTGATGACATTTGGGCGAGATGTGACCGCCGATAGGGTGTATGGACTAGTGGTGTCAATTTCAGAAAACGTATGTCCAAAGTCTGTCCAATGTCCAATGCTTACGTCGATTGTCCGTCCAAAAATGTCCAAGCCAGCCATTTGTCCAACGATGTCCGACACCTACGCAATAGTTTACACTAAACACTGTTATTTAAATTGTTTTTCATGTACC